TCCATGCTCACATGCTTGTGCAGCCATTAAGACCATAGGGGGAAACGTTTATGATTATGTTGAAGAGTGTTACAAACGTTCATCCCAAGAAAAAATCTATACCCGGAGCATGGTTCCAGTGGTGACAATTGATATGCCTCACTTGAATGACTATACGTTTGAGAATCTTACTGCTCAACCCTTGCTTTTACCCCCAGTCACTGTTAGGCCTTCTGGAAGACCAAGAAGAAATAGAAAGGAATCACAATTCCACAACAAAAAAATATATCATTGCACTAGATGTCTTCATCCTGGACATACAAAGAGGACATGCAAAAATCCTAACCCAAGTTGACTTCCACTTACAAATGGGACAACTAATTTTTTTGGCACATATAGGGTTCATCCTTCTTAATTTTTTGGGAGCAGGATGTTAGTAGATGTGCACATATATTTTTTGTTACTTCTATGTTTGGGACAAAGGGACATTAAGTGGAAGATGTAAGTTAATGTGCACTTGTCATTGAATGTTGTAAAGAACTTATTGCTGTGAAAGAAATCAGAACTTGTCACTTCTTGTTATTTTGCATAGTTAAGTTGTCATTTGCTTTTGTGCACTTGTAATTTCATGTTCATCAGAAGTGGTTGCTGTCAGAAATGTGCAAAGTGTAATTCCGTGTTTATCAGAAGTGGTTGCTGTTAGAAAACGAAATGTGTCAAAACCTTATAGGAACTTGTCATGTGGCATAGTAAAGTTGTCATTTGACAATATCAAGTTGTCATTCCGTGTTTATTAGTAGTGGTTGCTGTCAGAAATGTGCAATGTGTAATTCCGTGTTTATCAGAAGTGGTTGCTGTCAGAAAACAAAATGTGTCAAAACCTTATAGGAACTTGTCATGTGCCATAGTAAAGTTGTCATTTGGCAATGTCAACTTGTCATTCTGCGTTGATTAGAAGTGGTTGCTCTTGGAAATGTGCAATGTAATCACTGTCTTCAAAAGTATGAAAATGTATTAAAACCTTCTGGGAAATTGTCATTTTCCATAATAAACTTGTCATTTCCCTTTCTGAAGTTGTAACTTTGTGTTCACCAGTAGTGAAAATCCAGTCGTTTCATGAAAACATTATTCGAACTTGTAATTTTCGATAGTGAACTTGTCACTTTCGTTTGTGAACTTGTCATTGTATGATTATCGTAAGTGGAAATCCACTAATTTCAACAGAGAATCTCGGTTTCATGAAAACTTTATCGGAACTTGTAAATTTCCCAAGTCAACTTGTCAATTTCCTTAATGAACTTGTCATTCCGTGATTATCATAAGTGGGAATCCACTCATCTCAACAGACAATCTCGGTTTCATGAAAACCTTATGGGAAATTGTAAGTTTCACTAGTCAACTTGTCAATTTCCTTAGTGAACTTGTCATTCCGTGATTGTCGTAAGTGGAATTCCACTAATTGGAGCAGAAATTTTCCCTTGCATGAAAACATCTTGGGAACTAGTGATTTGGCATTGTCAACTTGTCATTTTCCTTTGTCAACCTCTCATTCCATGAATCAATGTGCAAATTTAGCCACCTTTAATACAGAATCACAAATTTGTATGAAAACCTTTTCACAAGTTGTCATTGGCCATAATGAACTTGTCGTTGCCCGTACTAAACTTGTCATTGGCCATTTGGCCTGACTAAAGGGAAATTTGTCATTCCAAATATAAGTGCTGTTATACTATCAATCCAACCATATCATAACCATTACAATAATTGGCATACAATTTCAACAAATGAATCCATTGACAAAGTTAGTAAAAGTCAGCCTAATTTAAATGCTCTCTATAAAGACATTCTCCTCTTCTTGGTCATTCGACCCTTCTCTGGTTGTGAGATAAGATCATACACCTTTCGACGGCATTCATTGTCATTATGGTTCACTAGCCACCACATCAGCTCGCGCTGAAAAGAGGACACATCAGCCTGCATAGCAAGTTTACCACCAAACAAGTCACACGTGGTCACTCTTGATTGCACAATAAATAAGGTAATGTCAATACCTCGGTATATTCAAGGGAAACATCAGGCTCCCATTTCTTGAGCCATATGAGCACATGCACACCACAATCCCTCCTGCCCACAACACCACCCTAACAGTTTCAGCTCCTCAAACCAACACAGCCAAATAACATATCACATGAGTAGGGTGTAGACACTCACAAATTTTTCTGCTGTGGTACATCAAGCCAGACAATTTCCAAGTTATCACTAAAATCTGGTTTGACCATGTGAAGTATGTCTTCAAACTGATCCCTCTGCACATATGCCATATTCATCAAAAGGATAATAATATAAAACTGTCATTTCCCTATCTAACATGCACAGGTCAGTAACATCTTACACATCCGGTGATGGCCATTTCTTGGGGGTCATATGTGGCTGCCTTCTTCTGCTTGGAGGTGGTCTTCTTACGCTGTAAACTTGCTCGCATAGAATCAAGGACATTAAACTTCTGGGTCTTTGGTTCGAATGCAAAACAGAACCAATGCTCCCCAACTAGAGCAGGGCCCAGAATCAAGTCACAGTCACCTATGTTGTAGCCAACATAATGCGGAAGTATTTGTCGTGCATGCTGGTTAGGATCCCAACGAGCTGGATCACGGGTCATTATGGCCTGTGAAATGCAGAAAACCAAGTTGTTATTCACTGTAACACACTTTATTCTGTCATTTTCATTTCCAATCTTGTAAATCAACAAAGCCTATTAGTAATACAGAAACCTCACCATGAAGTCTGCATCAAATATATGCCTCCTAACTCGACCTTCAACTGCCTGCTGCTCTTGCACCAAAGCCTTACAGACCAACGACATCACTCGGTTACTCACCCTGTTATTTCCACTAAGCGAATGCAGCAATCGTCGGGGATGTTGTTAGGATTATAGTTTGATGATAACAAAGTCAGATTAATTTAGTTAAGTATGGTGATCGATCATCTGATCGATCAAACGTTTATTGCTAAGGTTACAGATAATTGTTCAGGTGTAATTCAGTTTTATAGTAGGTATTTTGATCGAAGAACTATCCGATAAGTAGTTAATCGATAAAATGATCGATTATCTCTAACATGGAAATCACACAAGGTTACCGTTAATTATCGATCACCTGATCGATAACATCAGATAAACAATCGAGTTACTGATAAAGAGAACCAAATCTGAAGTGCATTTATCGATCACATGATCGATAAATAAATTATCAATAACGACTTCGATAAGAGGTAACACACTCTATTCGTTCTACACATTTACTATGTTTATCATTTATCGATCATATTTTCGATCACTGGCTTATCGATCACATGATCGATCATTATGCTCCAACTCTGAATGCAGGTAATCATCTTAACTGCTGGATCGATAACCTTATCGATCATAAAATTATCGATCACATGATCGATAATCAATGTTGTTATCTACTCATATTTAGTTTTTCTGCAACCACATTATCAATAACATTATCGATAATTTAACTTGTTTGCATATTATCTTTTCACATAACATGATCGATAAAGAGTCTAAGGATTGCTATATTCGCATTAACTTATGTTGAACCATTTTTCGATCACCTAATCGATCATTGACTTTTCGGTAATATGATCGATCATTCGATTTCTTGAAACTCATGTTTTTACAAAACGTGATCGATAATCAGTTTCTTCACCTTACAGGGTTAAATTTCTTTTCTCACTTTATCGATCACTTGTTCGAATATTCATTGATCGATCACCTGTTCGATCATTCCAGAGAGTATGTGTCTTTCAATGAATATTCTTACTCATGGTTTATCGATAACTTTATCCATCACCCTTTTATCGATAAGTTGTTCGATAAAGTTTCATTTCAATAACATTTGAATTATCAATAATCTGTTCGATCAACAAGTGTTCGATCACTTGTTCGATCATGGAACGATTTCCGTTTACTACGATAATTCTTAAAGTCAATGATCCAACACTTGATCGATAATTTCAATGAACTAATTCGAGAAGCTTTCATTCATTTTTTTGATAACCTGATCGAACAATAAGTAATCGATCACCACTTCGATCAACATACCCAGAAAGTCTTTCTGCTCTTTCTACAGACAAATCATTTCGACCAAGATCTTTGAATGATAAATTTGTGTTTCTTCTTGTTCTTAATTAAAACCTACACCACAAGACTCCTTGTTGCTTCAAGTTTTAATATGTGCAGATTACCAAGAAAGATTACAACGGCTCTTCAACGGGATTACGTAAACTGCAATCTACAGTGTCAGAAGCTCAGACGCATTAATGGCGGAACCGTTGAAACCGGCGAAACACGCAAACTGAGTCACAACGGCTAGAAGCTCTTCCGTCTAACGGCTAATTAACAACCTCAACTATAAAAGGTGCGAAGAAGCATTAATGAAGAGATTGAATACCGGAACTACCACCTGTGATTATTAAGTCTAGCATTCAATACTCTGTTTTCTGCGATACTACTGAGCATCAGTGTTCATCATTAAATTCACTCTGTAAGAGAGCCGATAACTACTCTTTATTAAATACTTGAGCGATACTCAAGAGTGTGGACTCTTGAGAGGGCTTGTATCCTTACGGGAGTAAGGGGGAGTGATTGAGCGATTCAATTACTGTACCGAGGCACCAAGAGCCCTGTCGATCTTGGAAGATAGTGAAATACTCAGAGGTGTTCTGAGGACTAGACGTAGGTCAAGTGGTTAAGACCGAACCAGTATAAATCTTGTGTCTTCTCTCTGCGGTGAAATTTCTCCTGACTCTGACTCTCTGTTTTTCAATACTGTCTCGCATTTAATTCTAAAATTTGTAACTCACCCAATTCACCCCCCTCTTGGGTGAGATTGATTCTAACAGATGTCTTCATCAAACATTCTGATCAAAGGACTGAAACATATTCAAGTGAGTTATTAGATGTGTTATGTTAACATGTAGTCAACAAATAACATCACATAAGCAAAGATTTTCACTTACATCTCACCCTCATCACCTTTGACAGCTCGGCTGACTAAATTGAAAAAAATATCCTTGGGCTTCATAGGCCTCTTCACTCTTGATTGTGCCTTCAACTCCAACCAAGGAGACTTGATCTTGCTAAACCGAACCCTAGTAGATCTCCTTAGTTGTTGTGCCTCCACAGATACAGGTTTTGGATCAGGCCCAACATATTCAACAATGGCCAGGGGGGATACCTCCATCGGTGAGTGACCTTTTGCCTCATCACCTTCAATGGTGGGTGACACTTCCCTAGGGGGATTGGCTGTAGGTATGTCACCCTTTGCATCACCCTTGTATTCCCTCTCCCCTTCGCTCCTGTCATCACCATCCCCTTGACCCTCTTCCTCCATCTCTTCATTGTCGCTGTCATTCTCTGTGTCACCCTTCCCATGACTGTCTCCATCTTCACTGCTTACTTCATCCTTCTCCTTTTCCTCAGTTGTGTCATCATTGTTGCGCCTCTCCTCCTCATCATCTTCAGAGTCACTTCTATTTGTAGGCACTGTCTCAACCCGAGCCTTTCCTCTTGATTTACCCTTCCCACCATCTCCCTGTCTTGGGATTTGCACCTTCACCAACTCTTCATCCACCATTTTCATTAGTATCTTTTGCCCTTCCTCTATCCTCTTCATTAGGCGCTTACGTAACTTTTTCAGCTCCTGCATGTAAAAGACATTAATCAAGTAAGTATATACAACAACAAGTTCACTATGGGAAATGACACCTTCACTATGACATATTGACAAGTTTAGTAAATCAGATTACAATTCAGGTATGACAGATCACAAGTTCATTATACAGAATTACAAGTTCAGTAAACAAAATCACAACTTAGGTATGGCAGATCACAAATTTATTATACCGAATGACAACCTCAGTAAATCACATTACAATTCAGGTATGGCAGATCACAAGTTCATTATACAGAATTACAAGTTCAGTAAACAAAATCATAACTTAGGTATGACAGATGACAAGTTCATTATACCGAATGACAAGTTTAGTAAACAAAATCACAACTCACATATGGCAGATGACAAGTTCATTATACCGAATGACAAGTTCAGTAAACCATATCACAACTCGCGTATGGCAGATGACAAGTTCATTATACCGAATGACAACTTCAGTAAACCAAATTACAATTCAGGTATGGTAGATCACAAGTTCATTATACAGAATTACAAGTTTAGTAAACCATATCACAACTCACGTATGGCAGATGACAAGTTCATTATACCGAATGACAAGTTCAGTAAACCATATCACAACTCACGTATGGCAGATGACAAGTTCATTATACCGAATGACAAGTTCAATATACAAAATCACAAGTCGGTCTACCCATGGATAAGTTCAATATGGCCAATCACAGCATAAGTATTGCGAATAACAACTTAAGTTTGCCAAATTACAACTTAACAATGACAAAGCTCTATGTCACTATAGCAAATCAGAACTTCAGTATAGGAAATGACAACAATACTATGGCAGATAACAAGTTCAGGTTACGAAATAAAAACTTCAGTTTACCAATTATACCACATACCGGGTCCAAAAACTCTACAATTATCCTCTCTTCTTTCCCTGTCATAGCTTCACTGCCTTTTCCTCCATACATAATTCCTCTAACACTCTTCCTCTCCTTGCTGGCCAATTCTTTTATCTTCTCATCAGTCTAGTATTCAATTGCAGTAGTGAACTCTCAGCCAACAGGCGTGTTCAGGTTAAAATTCTCACAAAAAAAAAGCTGCAAGCCAGGCACATATATACAACATTAACGTTATGCACATCGGTAATCAAATGCAAACACAATGACAAATAAAATAGTAATACCAGAAGTAAGTATATGCAGCCACCAACAGTGCTGCTCCCCTGCCCTTCATTGCCTCGCCTGTACCCTTTGACATAGTCTCCCATTTCTTTCCAGAGGTCCTTTATAATATAGATAGCCCAATCATACTTTCCAAAGTCATCCATTGTGCAGCGCATGACTCTAACCAACTTCTCACTCACTTCTGAGCTTGATTTCGGACATAGAAAAGTACCCAGGGTGTACAGCACAAATAAAAACTCGAATCTATGATCCTCCTCCCCTGAAACAATGTCTTTTAGTATTTTGCTGAATGACACTTTCCGATATTCATTTCTCAACTCCTGATATGTAGCATCACTCTCATCAACTTTAGTTTTCACGTCCTCCCCACCGTGACGGATTCCTAGCAGTTGCTCAACATCTTCTGCTCCTATTTCCTCTTATTTGCCCCTGATTATAAATCGATGCGTTGGCAGGTCATATGATCTCAGCATGGTCACAATGAGATCACGGGGTAGTCTCTTTAATCCAACCTTCAACAGCCTCTCGAAGCCCATCCTCTCAACCGTCTCCCTTAAGTCTTCATTATTGTTCACAAAGTGCAGTAATTTTCTTAATCCCTTCAGGGACACCCGGGTTAGAAATGATGGGACATGTTTCTTTTTCCCCTCTTCTCCCTTTTGTGGCCTTCTTTTCTTCACCTCCTCGGTGTACCTCATCTTCTCTTCAGCGGCCAGAGCTTTCCATGCATTTGATGCAGCATCTCTTTTTTGTTTGGCTGTCATGTCAGGGTCAGCTATTGTGGCCATAAACTCACTTCTGAATAACAACCAACCGTTGTGTGCCTTTTTTGATCCAGAGGCTCCTTCTGATGCCATCTTTCTCTTCCTGCAAAATATTCAACATACAATCCTTCACAACCACATTTACTAACTAACTATCACCTCTGTCAACAACCTATTCTGTAACCAACAGCCTTCTTACATCACCACCATTGACTTCTTATTTCGAAACATAAACTTGTAATTTCATATAAGCAAGTTGTTAATTTCTCAAAGTAAACTTGTTATTCTCAACTACTTCTCATGCTTGTTATTTCTCATCGTTAACTTGTCATTTACAATTATCAACTAGTTATTTTACATTATAAAGTTCTCCATTTGTCATAATCACCTTTCTTATTCCCAACTTCTTATTGTCATTTTTAAACTTGTCATTTCCTATTGTTAACTTGTTAGGAACCCATGGCAACCTTCTTATTCCCAACTGCTCAATAACTTGTTATTCATTATATTCAACTTGTTATTTTCTATTACCAACTTGTCAATTACACATTCTTATTTTGCATTATCAACTTGTCAATCCCCCTACTTCAATTTTGTCATTTTAAACGACACTATCACTTTAACATCTCTTCAGATCAATTAATAGTTAACCAATTCAATTTGCACTTTATCCATTCAAGTGTCGTCATTTCCCAAACTAATCTTGTCATCCTCCTAACTGATCTTCTCATTCCCTTCCCACCCAAACCCATTCGCCCATCTTCTTCCACATATAACCATTTTTCGCCAATCAGTCACAACATATTCAACAGAAAAAACATATATATACGTTCCTGCCCTAAACGCATTCCCTTCCCTCTCGTTAATGTATCACACAGGCAGCAACGAACACAAACAAACCAAAGCTTGAAACTTACCACCAGATTTTGTCGCTAAATGCCGCTGTTAACTTTGATAGCCACACACGACTGTCACGATGCCTCTACCTCCTCCCTTGCCTTTGATAATGCCGATAGATCACTACTCCAGCACGACTCCGTTCTCCTCTCCCACAGCAAATACACTCATCTCTCACACAATACTCCTCTCGCCGCAAAATGGAAACAAACTCTTGCGCACAAATAAACAGAGCAGACCGCAAAGAATGGCTGGGGGGATACAAAGGAAGTTATCGCACGTTTTGGGGGGGGGAGGAGAGCGCGGATAGGTTTTTTTTTCTTTTCAAATGAGTGAAGGGCATTTCAGCCATTTAACACACATTTCATAATAGCAAATTGGGACCGGGTCCTCTGCAGCAATTTCTCAAATTCAAGGTCCCTGATTGCCATTTTATATATTGGGGGTCTTTATTTGTAATTTCCCCTTAAAAATATATATTTTTTAAAATTAAGTAATGGAAGACATTATATAAAATTATTGAAAAAAATCTAACACACGCTGACAGGTCAACTGGTGCTGTACAGTCTCCTGGCATGAAATTTTCCGCTATTTAATTTTAAGTAAAAAAGACGTGAGTTCAGCTTGGAATAATCTCGCTACTAATATCTGCTTTCTAATTAAAAAAAATAATATACTCATATACGTTGGCAAAAACAAAACTCATAATAATTGACACTTCATACTCATACACTGATACACTAGCCCAAGTTTAATTTGCCAAACAAATACTACATATTTGATCTTTTAATTTTAGATAAAGTTTTATTTTAGTGTCTTAATTTTATAAACGATGTTTTTAGTTTTCTAATTCAAATATAATATTATTGACAAAAAAATTACTACTAGCATTAAAATTTTAAATATCTATAAAATATTCACAAATATTTTCATATTAAATTTAATACTTATAATAACTATGACTGATGAAAAAAATTATTTGAGATTTAAATCTTGTATTCCGAAGTTAACTGCAAATGGCGAGGCATTCATATAATTATAAATATGAGTATTTTACAAATTCAAAGGCAATTACATGAAATTAATTTGAAAATTACGAGTTATTCCCGTGTATAAATTTTGTTAAAAAAATTATATATTCATCAAAAGTTGTTGAAACAGGATGGGCCAAAAAAAAAAAAAGGTCGTTGAAACGGGTGAGTGCGGAGATGACGAAAAAAAGAAAACAAAAAGAAAAGGCGGTAAGAAGCAGAAGAAGCGTGTGGCGGGGAGAAGCTGAAAATTGACGAAGGGCGCCGAAATTAAACCCGACGCCGAAGCACATCCGATTCGCCGGCTGGAGTAAAATGTCCGAACTGATGGGCCCCTCTGCATTCAATGCCGTCGTTGATTCATCACCTGCCTCGCCACCCAATCCTTCTCTCTCTTCTCGATCTGTCTCTGCCTCTAAGCCTAGCCTTCTCCTTTGTGAAGAGGTTTTATTGCTCTTCTGAACTCTGTCTTTGCAACGTCCCATCCATTTCACTATTACTCATATCTGGCCACCTATTAATATCTTCATTCTGAGTTTTCTTCTGATCCCACCTAAATTCTATGCCTCTTCCTCTCTCCTCCCTCCTTCTGGCCTTCGCGAATTTCTCTTTGTCCTCATTCCTCAACCACTCAACATGATGGTGCAAGAGGAAGTCATGACTGATGTCACTGTTCCTCCTCGAACCGTGCTTTTGATATCCGCCGGTGCTAGCCATTCCGTTGCCCTACTCTGTAAGCGCCGACTTCTTACTTCTTTCTCCTCTTTAAACTAAGAATTTTATTGTACCTCCATGTGGGGGGGATCGTTTTGGAAGTTTATGAAAGCTGAAATCATTTTGACTGTTTGACATGACCCCAAAATTATGTTTTGGGGCATTGGCATTGACTCCAACTTCTGGATAGTGGCTTAACGAGGCGTTCATTGTTGCCTCTCCTGGGAATACCTTACTGTTTGGATAAGATAACCCACTTGATTTACCCACATCTCTGTTTTATAACCAATCAATTGCGGTAGATCAATTGTAGACAAGATTTCAAGTTTGTGCTTTGATTTCTCCTTGAGCAGCAGCAAGAGCCGAGAACTGCATTTGTTCTCAAAATTCAAAAAAATACGCTGTGAATATATCAGCCACAAAATAAACATCTGCTAGCTTCGTCATTCTTCCCTTTCTATTTTCATGACATCCTTGCTGTAAATGATTTGTAATTTTCTTCACTTGGGTCTTTGTTAAACTGACGGCTTGCTCATTGTCGATCCTTCACAGCTGGAAATGTTGTTTGCTCATGGGGACGGGGAGAGGATGGGCAATTGGGCCATGGTGATGCTGAGGATCGGCTTTTCCCTACACAACTGAGTTCATTGGATGGCCAAGAGATAGTATCTGTTACTTGCGGAGCTGACCATACGATTGCGTATTCAGAGTCCCGCACGGAAGTGTTTAGCTGGGGATGGTCTGCTCTCTATCTTTTAATTAGTTTTCTAAAACGTTGACCTTCTTAAAACAGAAAACTGACGTTCCCTAGAAATGCAATTTTTTTTACCCTTGGCTAGCGTGTGTTGTCATCAATTGTACTAAAAATGGAATCAAAACTAGTTTGACCGTGCAATGATTTATCAACTGCTGCAGCCCTATTGTGATACTTGCACTTTAATCAATCGTCAATAGTATGTATAGAATTGTCAGTAATATCTATCTAAAAATGAATATCACAAAGTTCATATTTTGGAAGAGAAGGATAGCATCCGAATTCCTAAAATGAAACATAGCTAGGAGATTTCTCAACACAAGGGCTGAAAAATGATATTGTTGGTTAACTGACTGACGGAGAAAGTTGCCATGCTTTAGGGCTCTCTGACCACTATGTACGAGGTGATTCCTGCATATGATAGGCAAAAGTCGAGTTTGATTTGTGTGGCACTGAAAAGTTGGACACATGCTGTCATATTGTATGAAAAGTCATAATATCAAGTGTTTGGGGGTTTCTTTTATCACTTGCAACTACTGAAAAACATTGGATCTCATCAAGAGGACTTCTTTCTTCTGTGGTTTATCTGTCAATTGGGTGACATCAGCACTGTTTGGTTTATATGAACAGTTGTAAGCAGCTTCTGCTTTTTCTAATTTTTCAGGGGTGACTTTGGAAGGTTGGGTCACGGTAATTCTAGTGACTTGTTCACTCCTCTTCCAATTAAAGCGTTGCAGGGTCTAAGGATAAAGCAAATTGCTTGTGGCGACAGCCATTGTTTGGCAGTTACCATGGAAGGCGAGGTGCAGAGGTGAGCAGTTCTTGCTTAAAATTTGGTCATTATTCATTTTTTGGTTCTAACCTCTTTACCAGTTTCAAGTTGTTTTTATTTGGTCAATAAAGTTTGAGTTGCATAATTAAGTGTATTGATTGAAACTGAAAATTACATCTCTGTGAGTTGCTTTGCAACATGAGCTGAATCT